TTCAATGTTTCTAAATAGCAATCGTTATGCTACTATTTCCTGATGTTTGAATTTTAGACATTTTCAATTGATTTTCTGTTTCTGACCATGAAGATTTAATTTTCTTATACTACAATGAGATATCACACCTGGTATTACAAAGTGGCAATTAATAACAACAAAAAAAGAACTAGAAATAACAAGTGTTGGTGAGGATGTGGAGAAAAGGGAACCCTTGTGCACTGTTGCTAGATATCTAAATAGGTATAGTCCCTATAGAAAGCAGTGTGGAATTTCCTCAAAAAATTAAAAATAGAACTACCATATGATCTAGCAATTCAATTTCTGGGTATTTACACATTAAAAAAACCCACTAATTCAAAAAATATATTTGCCCTCCCTACATTCACTGCAGCATTATTTACAAAAGCCACAATATGGAAACAAAGTGTCCATCGATGGATGAACAGATAAAGAAGATGTGATACATAAATATACATATTATTCAGCCATAAAAAGAATGAAATCGCAATAGCAATGATATGAATAGACTTTAAGGGCATTATGCTAAGTGAAGCGGGTCAGACACAGAAATGCTATAAGATCTCACTTGTATGCAGGCTCTTTAAAAACAAAAGAACAGATCATAGTTGCCAGAGGTGAGATGGGACGTGGGTAGTGATGGATGAAGAGAGTCAAAAGGTACAAACTCCAGTTATGACACAAGTAAGTCATGGCTAACACTGTATCAGTTTCAGGTGTATTGATTCGATATTTGTATAATTTGTGATGGGATCACCACAATAATTTATATCACCACAATAATTTATTTACCTAACCTTTCGTTGAACTATTTATTTCTATCTTACTTTTAACTTCCAAGATCTCTATTTTTCTCTGATTATTACTTGAACATAGCACTTGATCTTTGTTTTGTGAATAAAATAAAAGATTTCATGAACTAAGACATTAATTACAGTTTTAAAGTTTGTCATTAGTCTCTCTCCTCCAAATGCCTTTTCTATCGCAGTTGTTGTCATCAGGGTCTTATATAATATTCTCCTGAAATGTCTACAGACCCTGGTTCTCCTTTCTGATTTTAGAGTAAGACAGGTCTAGGTAGATGGATGGAGCCTTACTAATGTTTAATGAGCGGAACTCAGATATTTCAGGGATAGAAGGGAACTATTGGATCTACAGGCCTTTTTCTTAGGTTGGATGACTTCTTAGAGTGGCTTCTTCCAACTCTTGACTACAGGAGTGTGAACACCTGCACAGGTAATGAAGCCAAGGGTGTCCTCACGTAGTATACAGCCCCATCGTCTGTCATCAGTTCAGTTCAGTCGCTCAGTTCTGTCTGACTCTTTGCGACCCCATGGCCTGCAGCACACCAGGCCTCCCTGTCCATCACCAACTCCCAGAAATTGCTCAAACTCATGTCCTTGAGTTGGTGATGCCATCCGACTACCTCATCCTCTGTCGTCCCCTTCTCCTGCCCTCACTCTTTCCCAGCATCGGGGTCTTTTCCAATGAGTCGGCTCTTCGCATCAGGTGGCCAAAGTACTGGAGCTTCAGCTTCAGCATCAGTCCTTCCAATGAATATTCAGGACTGATTTCCTTTAGGATGGACTGGTTGGATCTCCTTGCAGTCCAAGGGACTCTCAAAAGTCTTCTCCAACACCACAGTTCAAAAGCATCAATTCTTCTGCACTCAGCTTTCTTTATAGTCCAACTTTCACATCCACACATGACTATTGGAAAAACAATAGCTTTGACTAGATGGACCTTTGTTGGCAAAGTAATGTCTCTGTTTTTTAATATGCTGTCTAAGTTGGTCATAGCTTTTCTTCCAAGGAGCAAGTGTCTTTTAATTTCAAGGCTGCAGTCACCATCTGCAGTGATTTTGGAGCCCCCCCAAAATAAAGTCTCTCACTGTTTCCATTGTTTCCCCATCTATTTGCCATGAAGTGATGGGACTGGATGCCATGATCTTAGTTTTTTGAATGTTGAGTTTTAAGGCAACTCTGTCACTCTCCTCTTTCACTTTCAACAAGAGGCTCTTTTGTTCCTCTTTGCTTTCTGCCATAAGGGTGGTGTCATCTGCATATCTGAGATTATTGATATTTCTCCCAGCAATCTTGATTCTAGCTTGTGCTTCATCCAGCCCAGCATTTCAAACGATGTACTCTGCATATAAGTTAAATAAGCAGGGTGACAATATACAGCCTTGACATATTCCCTTCCCAATTTGGAACCAGTCTGTTGTTCCATGTCCGGTTCTAACTGTAGCTTCTTGACCTGCATCCTCTGTCATCTTATGAACTAAAGCCCAGAGTCCATCTTCTCCAGAGAATAAACCTCCCATACTCCACCAGATAGCAAAGGGCAGTCTCTGGCTGTGTAAAGCTGAGGAAAGGATCTGGGGACATAGCTGTAATCCTTCTATTCAAATCTCCCTTCAGTCATCAGAAGGACCCAGAACCTCCAGTTCCCGAGTCTCTGGTTTCTGAGGTGTGACCAGGCTACACTCTTCTGCCCTCCCCACTACTTCCCATCATACTAGAAGGATGGGTCTCAGCCTCATTCAGTTTGCGCGGTCAGTTACCATTCATTCATCCTCTTTCCATCTTCCAAATCTTTGTGGGTGTTTCTTCCCTGCCATGAGAGCCTAACCTGTTTTTGTCCCTTCTAGGCTGCCATTCACTCTAGTCTTTTACTATCATGTTAGTAAACTTTCTGGAGGGACAGATCTAAGTGGTATATTCAGGCCACCATGCTACACTAAAGAACACTACAGAGCTCTACATTCCTCCCTGGGTGAGCCAGGTTTTTATCTGCACCCCCAACTCTGCTCTTGATGTTCCCCTAGTTTCTTGTCTTTATTTTTCTCCTCTCTTTAATTTTCCAGTCCTTCACAGACCTCCAAGATTAGGGTCTCCTAGGTCTTCCCTGTACATACTGTGTAAGTCTCTGGCCTGACATACCTACATAGATCACAGTGTGCTGGACTGATCTACTTGTATAGCTGTCTCCTTCCCTCGCAAGATAGTAAGCAGGCAAGGACCATCTTATCCAAAGCTCTGTCTCCAGTGTGGGGAAAACCATGTGGCACATAATAGGTGCTCACTGATACTGCTCAACTGACCCATTTCCCCTAAGCTCCATGTTAGAAGCATCTTCATTCTCAAAGGAGTACAAAAAATACGGCTGTGTTTATTTGCCAACGTCCAAATAAGAAAGGCTAATCAGAGAGCACCAGGAAATAAAAACAGCCAGATGTTTTTCAAAGCAAAAGTCCAGGAATGCAAAATAGCTTGCAACAGGGGTGATGCATGTTTTCCTAGTGATTCGAAATGAAGATATGCTTATTAGGCAGAGAGAGAGATTTAACAGGTTTCTCAGCTAATGCTGCAATTTTAAATCCATTTAAGATAATTTTCTTTATCTTGAATCTATTTTTCTCAGTAACCAGGAGAACTTAACTGATTTGTACAAAATCCATTTGAAAAAGAAATAATCTAGTATAAGCAAGGGCACACTCTAAATGAAAAAAGAGAGATACCACAAATCTAACAGAAGATGAAGCATCTGTTTGAGAAGCTAAGGAGGACTACTGACTAGAAAATAGGATTATTTCCCCCAGCATCTTGATTTTCCCACAAATCTCTCTTCTCTCTTTCCCAAGGAGAAAAATCTGAGGGCACAGAACAAAGACCTCTCATAAACCAACCAAGATGCAAACAAACTGTTTCAAAGGTAAGAATCTCACACAAAAATTACATGTTGAAACAATCATAGGATGTCCTTTCCCACCTACCAGCTAGGAAAAGCATTATTGAAATGCTAGTTTGGGAAGGGTCAGGTAAAATTCTAACAGTAGCAGAAACTGCTATAAAGTTTCTGGAGGAAAACATCTCTCTGTGTATCTAGAGCCTCCAAAAGTATTGCCACAATGTGATCGCAGGATTATACCATTAGAAGTGTGGATTAAGAAAGCAAATGTCTGGACTTCCCTAATGGCGCAGTGGATAAGAGTCCGTCTGCCAGTGCAGGTAACACAGGTTCCATCCCTGATCCGGGAAAATCCCACGTGTTGCAGAGCAACTAACCCGTGAGTCACAACTGCTGAAGCCCATGTGCCTAGAGCCCTTGCTCCACAACAAGAGAAGCCACCAGAATGAGAAGTCTGGGTACCGCAATGAAGAGCAGGCCCGGCTGGCTGCAAGCAAAGCCTGAGAGCAGTAATGGAGACCCAGAGCAGCCAAAACCAAATAAATAAAATAAAATTTTTAAAAATGAAAATAAATATCAAATCAACGTACATAAAGATTGGAGAGGGGAAATAGTCACCAGTGTTATTTATAATAGAGAAAATTAGAACCAGATGTATAACAATAGAAACAATGATCATAACTAATAACACCAGAAAATGCTTATGAAATAATGTTGCGTGAAAAAAGGATAAAAGAAATAAAGGTTCATAATTTGCATAGAAAAACAGACTCAAGGACAAGATGCTAAGATTTTACCAGTCACTGCCTCTAGGTCATGAGGTCATGGTAGTTTTTTTTTAATTTTTACTTAAAAATTCTTTGGATTATGTTTCTGTACTACTTGTATTAAAATTTTAAAAATTTACTTACTTTATTTTCATAATCAAGAGCACTATTTACTGATTTTGTTTGTGTGTATATGTGCTTAGTCGTGGCCGACTCTTTGTGACTCCATGAACTTAAGCCTGCCAGGCTCCTCTGTCCATAGGATTCCCGGGTAAGATACTGGACAGGGTTGCCATTTCTTTCTCCAAGGGATCTTCCCAACCCAGGGAGGTACCTACATCTCCTGCGTTGGCAGGCAGATTCATTACCACTGAACCAGCTGGGAAGCCTCATTTATTGATTACGGAGGGGACTCGTGAGATAAAAGCTTCTCCACTAGTTACAAAACAGCAAGAGATAATGTCATAGACACGCGTTTACACTACAAAGCCAACTCCTCTGATCGGCCGAATGAGAACTTACTTGGTGGGACGATAATCCGGAATGGAACGATCCAGTGAAATTTTTTCACTGAGGTAGGAATTGTAGCCATACTTCTCATGGGACCCCCTGGCTTTCTCTTCTTCAGCAGGGGAGAGGGTGGCAGGAAGGCCCCCTTTGCCCCGTCCACCGTAACCTTCGATGAGCCCAAGGGATTTGGATAAACCTAGAAAGAGAGGGAGGGGAACAAAAGAATTAGTTGAAAACCACCATCCCAGGATATGTTACTCAGGCTAAGACACAGCTTCAGTGGAAATTCTAACATTACCTGTCACAGAAAAGATTATGCTCTCAACTTATCAGTATTGGGAATATGCCCCGAGCACATTTAAACTGAGAGGAAGGGGACTTCCCTGGTGGCCACGGGTCAAGACTTCACCTTCCATTGCAGGGGGCGAGGGTCTGATCCCTGATCATGGACCTAAGATCCCATGTGCCTTGGGGCAAAAAAAAAAGAACATCAAAAAAATGGAACAAATACTGTAAAAATTGAATAAAGACTAGAAAAAACAATTAAAAATTAAATGAAGAGGAATGTCAAAGCAATGACAAAGGTCTGTATAGTCAAAGCTATGGTTTTTCCAGTAGTCACGTATAGATGTGAGAGCTGGACCATAAAAAAAGCTAAGCACCAAAGCATCAACACTTCCCAACTGTGTTGGTGGAGAAGACTCTTGGACAGCAAGGAGATCAAACCAGTCAATCCTAAAGGAAATCAAGCCTGAATACTCATTGGAAGGACTGACAGTGAAGCTCCAATACTTTGGCCACCTGATGTGAAGAGCTCACTCACTGGAAAAGACCCTGATGCTGGGAAAGATTGAAGGCAGGAGGAGAAGGGGATGACAGAGGATGAGAAGGTTGGATGGCATCACTGACTCAGTGGACGTGAATGTGAGCTAACTTCAGGAGACAGTGAAGGAGAGGGAAGCCTGGTGTGTTATAGTTCATGGGGTCGCAAAGAGTCTGACATGACTGAGCAACTGAATAACAACAACAAAATAATTATGAGGTGTGGGGTTAAGGCTGATCACACTCAGGAAGAACTTCTCCCTCTTTTTGGGAACTAGGGTGGATCATGTATCAGGATGGTGTCTATAAAGGGGAGAGACTGCCAAAAGCAGGGCACATGTGGACCAAATATGGGCAGAACAGGCCCTGTCATCCCTGCCCAATTTCCTGTCTTCATGAGCAATTACCACAAGGCGGGATATTCCAGGAGATGCCTGGTAACAATGCAGAATAAGAACAGCCAGTAATAAGGAACTGCCAGACAGCAGGTGTTTTTGCTTCATTTGAACAGAGAATAATATACAGATTGATTTTATCATGAGTTTAAAGTGTATAACCGTCTGACACTGTTCTATACCTAATGGTTTTATTTAAATCTCATCTAAATGGCAAAAGGAAATACAAAAGTGTTTGAGAATAAATCACAGAGAAGAAAAGCCCATAAGGGTGATAACCGAGCCAAGTAGAGTAGGAGGCCTCTGTAACAAGCTTCACTGAGCAATTGTGGGTTCCGGGGATGGTGGCAGCTTTATACCTATTGTTCCATTTATACGATAAACAGCTTGATGGGTAATTTTTAAATCCTACAGTTTACAGGAGGTTTTATTTCTTGGCTTGAAAACTTTTGTTGTGAAGGGCTCTTATTCTTCTTCACTGTTTCAAATGTTCAAGCTACTCTGTCCACCCTCAGGTGTGCTCACATGCACGTGCACGCACGCACACGCACACGCACACACACACACACACACACACACACACACACACTTGGTCCACAAAAGTCCTACTGCTACCACTGGTAGACCATGGACCAGGGGTGTCAACAGCAGCCTCAGCTTTCATGATGGGCAGCCCACGAAGCCGAGAAGGACGCTGATCTCCCAGGAAAGCATTCCCAAGCAAGTTAAAGACCAGTAAGTCTGCTCTGGTCACATGGTGGTTCTCTACCCCAAAATGGAAAGACTTGTAGTCTCTTTCTCACTCCTCTGAAACTAGAAATTTCTTTTCTGTGATACAAAATCAAAAAGCAAAGCTTAAGCAGGCACCTCGGGGTTGATCTCAAGTGAACATCATTTTTCTAAGAATCTTTTCCACTGTCCACTGTGTTCCTCAGGAACCCTGACATCTTTTCTACCTGTCACCATCCAAACAGAGGAACCAACAACTGAGAACTGGGTTACTCCAACACTTTGTGTTTCCTGGTCTTTAACCTCTCATTCCACATCATTGTACACCAACCATTCCAATAACATCACCTTTGCTGTCCAAAATCTACAAAAACTCTTCAAATGTCAAGAACAGACACCTGTGTTGGATTTTTACATCACTCATGAAAGGACATTGCTAGTGGGAATGTAAAATGGTGCACTTACTTGGTAAAACAGTTTGAAAGTTCTTCAAAATGTTAAGTATATTGTACCATATGACCCAGCAATTCCATTTTTAGGTATATACCCAAGAAAAATGGAAAGAAAACACAAGAACCTGTACACAAATGTTCAGAGAAGCATTATTCACACTAGCTAAGTGTCTATCACCTGACAAATGAATAAAACAAAATGTGGTATATTCAGACAATGTGATAATATTTAGCAATAAAAATGAATGAAGTACAGACCTTCCTCAGCTTACAAAAGAGTTACATCCCGATAAATCCACCATAAATTGAAAACATCGTTAAGTTGAAAATGCATTTAAAACATCTAACCTACTGAACATCATAGCTCAACCAAGCCTACCTTAAATGTGGTCAGAACCCTTATATGAGCCTTGATGTGTTAGCTGCTTAGTCATGTCCGACTCTTTGCGACCCCATGGACTGTACCCCACCAGGTTCCTCTGTCCATGGAATTCTCCAGGCAACAATACTGGAGTGGGTTGCCATGCCCTCCTCCAAGGGATCTTCCCAACCCAGGGATCAAATCCACTTCTGTCTGCAGCACTGGCAGACAGGTTCTTTGCCACTAAATTCACCTGGGAAGCCCTATATATGATGTATGGAATATGACATAATTTTAAAAGATGAAAAAGAGACTATACTCTGTGGGTTTTTCTTCTTGTTTTGTGTACTTTCACTCACTCATCCTGGGTTTCCCTTTCCCTCCCCAATATTTGCAGCCTTTTCTTGAAAGCCACAACCACAGTCCTCTGTGGATTTCTGGCCAGCATGGAACCCAAGGGTCAAGGAGAGAGGCTGCCCAAGTGGGACAGGATTGACCTCCAACATGGCTCAGTAGCTTTCATGGAAAGCATCGGATTCTTTTACTTATTTCATCTGTGAACTCCTTTTTGTCTCCTTGGCTATCCAGCATTTCTTTTGTCCAGTCTAAATAGATATCTTCCATTCCCTAGTTAAATGCCACCTCTAAGCTACAATGTATCTCAGCTGTGTTTGCCCAGCACCCTCCCATAGGCAGCCTTTCCAATGCAGGCAGAGAAGCCAGGGAGGGAATTTATTACAAAATTCCTTATTACTTAAGGAATTAAGACTAGGAATACAGGCTAATCTTACCACCAACACTTAGGAATGAAACCTCCCAGTGAGATTTTCTTTTTCCCTTTCTGAGGCATTATTTCTTCCATCATGAAAGGCACCCACGTAGCAGTCTCAAAAAAGATCATTCTTCAGAGTGCAATGTGACAACTACGAATTATATATTTTGTGGTCCATGTGCTCCCATTTTCCCCCCCAATTGAATCTGCCAGAAAGGTTCAACAAAGTGGCAAAAATGTTCACTGGCATTTTAATGTGCTTACTTAGCAGGCCCCGGAAACAGTTGGCAACAACAAATACAAGTTCAAGTTCATCAACAAGACTCAGGTTGGTCTTTACTTAGCTGGGAAGAGATGCCACCAGGGCAAGTTGGGATGACCCCATGCACCTAGGGAACTTTCTTTTCTGAAAGTGCCTTGTACTTTTTGGCCAGAAGCAACTGTAGCCACAGCAGATGGATGTGAACTTGTAGGCATGGAAGCCGCAACTGACAAAAAGAAGAAAGAGGGGAATGAGGGAAGAGAACGGGGTGGCTGCTTGGGACCATATTGGAGAGGACTTGGCATCGCCTTCTTGTCCCTTAGGCGCTGCCTCCTGAGTCACTGTAGCCGAAGATGGCAAAGCCAAGGGACGGTATTGGCAAGAAGTTGAAGGTGAGGAAGAAAGAAGAACAAATTGAGGTCTGCCATCCCCTAGCATCTTTACTGAATTATTCTTCGTGTTTCTCTCCACCCTTTTCCTCTGCTTCACACCCCAGGAGATAACACCTATATAGACAGTATCAAGGGTTCCCTTAGACTTCTGGCTTTGGGTTGGGCTTAACCACCAGGAGGTACCTTGAGAAGACTGAAGGTCGAGAAGAGAGAGAGGTTGGGGTGCTTGTCCCCCAGCTCCCTCCTGACCAGGTGTGGTTTGGTGGAGACTGCATTCTTCTGCAGCACAGTCATGTTCAGACAGGCATCTCCGACGGTTAGCCTAGGGTTAGAGCCAGTCCCGTGTTCTATTAACCATGCTCTCCTCCGGACCCTTCAGGCGTTGGCATGGCAACTGCTTCCTCTTCTGTCGATAGCCCTGGAGTCATACACCATGCCTGGCCATGCCTTGCTGAATTCCCTTACCTCTTCCCAAACCTTTGTAAATGTTTTGCTAAAATCTCTTCAGTCAGCCCCTCTGGGTATGCCACTTGTTTCCGGCTGGGATCTTGACAGATATAGCATCTTACTCATACCCACAGGAAGATTTCTCCCATGGTACCACAACTAGATACTCTCTTTAAGGGCAGGCATGTGGTCACCCTAGCGCCTGACCTGTAGAAAGTTCTTAAGAGGGACTTTCCTGGTGGTCCAGTGGCCAAGATTCTGTGCTTCCAATACAGGCGGCCGGGGCTCAATTCCTGGTTAGGGAACTAGATCCCAAATGCTGCAACTAATAGTTTGAATGCAACAACTAAAGATCTTGTATGCAACAACTAAGAACAACAACAACAACAAAAAGTCAAAAAAAACCTCCGAATGGTTGAGCATATGGATGAGCAGAAATGAGATCTGGAAACTGAAATTGGAGCCATCTATTATAAAGTGATGTCAAGAAGGAAAATTAAATACACATGGGGAAAAAAAAAAGACATCTACTAGGAGAAGAGAAGAGGGATTAAGACTATGTAT